TGAGGCTGAGGTGCCCGCTCCTGCTGAGGAACCCATCGCCGCCGTCGAAGAGGCGCCTGCGCCCCCTGCCGAAGAACCTGAGCTCGCTGTTGAGGAGCTAGTCGTACCTACAGCTGAGGTCGAGGCCGTCGTGGAGGAGCCCGTAGCTCCTATAGCTGAGGTCGAGGCTGTCGCGGAGCCAGCGGAGGCCTCTGTCCCTGCGGCCGAGGAAGTACCAGCTGTGGAGGAAGTCGAGCAGGCCATTCCCGTGCCCGAGGAGACGCCTGTCGAGGAGACCGAACCCGCTGCAGAGCCCACTGTGGAAGTCGCTGTGGAAAGCACGCCCGTCGAGGAGCCTGTCCACTCCGAGGAGACGCCTGTCGTTCAAGAAGCAGAGCCCGCTCCCGTCGAGGCAGAGGCCGAGCTTGCTGAAGAGGCCAAGGAGGCCGAGCCCGTCGTAAGTGACGAGCCCGCACCTGTTACCGAAGAGCCTGCAGAGCCGGTCGAGGTCGAGGTTGCTCCCGCGCCTGAGGAGACTCCCTCCGTGGAGGAGATCGCTGCTGAGGAAACTGCCGCCGTTGAAGACGTGGTAGAAGCCCCTGCCGCAGAGGAGTCGCCTGTCGCCACAGAGGAGGTCGTTGCTGCCGAAGAGACTCCCGCCGTTGCTGAAGATGCTCCCGAGGTTATTGAGGAGGCACCCGTTGTCGCTGAAGAGGCACCCGTTGTCGCTGAAGAGGCTCCCGCTGTCGCTGAGGAGGCTCCCGCTGTTGTCGAGGCTGCTATCGAGGAGACTCAAGCCGTCCCCGTCCCTGAAGAACAGGAAGCCGAAGAGCCTGCTAGTGTCGAGGCCCCGGCCATCGAGGAGGTCCCCGTGGAGGAAGCTGCGGTTGTTGCTGAAGAGACCGAGGCGACTGCAGAGCCTGCCGTCGTTGAAGAGGCCCAGGAACCTGAGCAGCCAGTTGTTACAGCCGAGGAGGCGATCGACACCACTGCACCGGTCGCCGAAGACGTTCCCGTTGCCGCAGATGTGCTCGTTGCTACTGAGACGCCTGCTGTTGAAGAGGTCGAGCCTCAGGTACCGATCGTGGAGGAAGTCGAGGAGGACAACGTGGAAGAAGCACCCGTTGTAGAAGCCGCCGCAGAGCCAGAGACGGCCATCGCGGAAGACGAAGTTCCCGTGCAGGAGGTCGAAGTTGCAGCGCCTGTTGAAGAGGCTCCCGTCGAGGAGCTCAGCATCCCGACCGTCTCGGTAGACGCGCCTCAGGACGAGCCTGAGCATGAAGAGGAGCCTGCTGAAGTCGTTACCTCTAGAAGCCCGTCTCCGTCTCCGTCCATTCCTGAGCGCCCCAAGTCCCCGTGGACGCCGTCATACAGCGTCACCACTCAAGGCCCGGGCGCGGACGCTGCCGAGGAGGAGCAAGAGATCGCCGAGCTCGAGCAGCTTCCTCCTTCCACAGAGGAGGCTGCTGTCGTTCCGCCTGTCGTTGAGATTACCACCGAGGTAAGAGCTCCCTCCGCTCGTGTTCGTATTGTTTCTGATGATTTGTTAGGCTTCTGAGGAGGTTACGGAGGCTCCCGAAGCTGAAGTCGAGCGTTCCAAGTCTCCATCTTGGGTCCCGTCATACTCGGTCAGCTCGCAGGGCGCGAGCCCCTTGCACTCGCCCAACGTCGAGGCCGCCGAGCTTCCTACGGAGCCGGCTGTCGAGGCTGAGACTGCTGTTGTCGCGGAGTCCGAGCCAGCTGCGGTGGAGGAAGTTGCTGAAGTTGCACCTGTAGAGCCTGAGGCCGAGGTTGCCCCCGAGCCTATCGAGGAGCCTGTGCCAGTGGTGGAGGTGACCCCCGAACCTGAAGCGGCCGAAGAGTCAGAGCCTGAGGCTGAAGAGCCGATCGCAGAAGCGGCTGTTGAACCCGATGCCGTTGAAGACGCGTCTACTCCCGAAGTCCTCATCACTACGACGGAGGACCTTCCTGCCGTAGAGGCGCCTGCAGCCACAGAGGAGGCGTCGAAGTCCTCTCCTTGGATTCCCTCGTACTCTGTCAGCTCCCAAGGCTCCAGCCCTCTGCACGCTCCCCAGCAGACCGCTAGCGATGCGGATGTGGCCGAGATCGAGGCTTTGCCTGCAGCTGCGGCTGTGGTGGAAGAGCCTGCTCACGAGGAACCTTCTGCTCCGGTAGTCGAGCCCGAACCTGTTGTTGCCGAGTCTGAGGTACCCACCGTTATTGAAGAGGTCGCCGCACCGGTCGAGGAAGCCGTTGACGAGGCTCCCGTGGATGAGGTTGAGCCTTTAGTTGCGGCTCCCGTCATCGTCACGGAGGCTGAAGAGGACGATGCTGTGGTAAGTGCTGATTGAATATCTAATGTGCACCAACGCTGAAGTACGCTTAGCCCCAGACGCCTCCTGCTCCTGCCACTGGTGACGAGAGGCCGAAATCGCCTTGGACGCCTTCCTACTCCGTCACGCAGCAAGGCAACAGCCCACTCCAGAGCCCTGCTCCAGTGCACAAGGAGCTCGAGGAGCTCGAGGAATTGCCTCCCGCGGTTGTCGAGGAGGCCACAGCAGAAGCCCCCGCGCCCCAGGAGCAGCCTGAGATTCGCATCGAAGAGCCCTCGGCACCCGCTGTTCAGGTAAGTCTCAACATCGTCATACAATCATGGTTCAATCACTCACATGCTGAACAGGACGTCGAGTCCCAGCCTACCGAACAACCTCCGTCCCGGCCTTGGACACCATCGTACTCGGTCACTAGGCAAGGTCCTGGCTCGGATGTCGGTGAAGATGCAACCGAGTCTGTCGACGTGCCTACCGTGCAAGAGCCCGTGCTCGACGAAGCTGCCAACGAGAAGGTCGCCGAGACTGCCGCTGCCGCTGAGCCTGCCGTCAATGGCAATGGTCTCCATCCCTTCCCGACGCCCGAGGAAAAGAAGATGTCGACCAAGTGAGTTCTATTGCTTGATTTCCAACAACATAGCTGACCCCTTGGGATACAGGCCTAGCTTAGCTCGTCTGGCCCCGGTTGACGAGAATGAGCAGATCCAGATCGAAGGGCCATCGACTCCTCCCGCGGACCTTCCCCCGGCGAGCGCGCGCGGCCGTCTCGAGTCCACGACCTCTTCCCGCTACTTCCCCGGCGGCTGGTTCTCCAGCACGGTCAAGACGCCGGATGAAGGCCGCGCGTCCCTGGACCACGCCTCCGGCGAGTTCACCAAGACGCTCTCCGAGTCCGGCGCATCTCCGTCCATGGAGGTGCCCACGAACACGCCTATCGACAGCAGCGTGGAGGACAAGCACAAGAAGGGCAAGTGGTGTGTGATCATGTAAACCTGGGCTCGCGGGCGTCTGCATTTTTCTTTCCTTCACGAATGTAACGAACTCACGACGTCCATCGTCTTCGCTGTCGATATGCACACATTACTTACTCGCCCGGTATAATCACCGCTCACCATCATCATTCTAACTAGTTTGCCCTATGGCTGCTACGGCCCGCGTACATCATCGACATCAATGCATAGTTTGGGTTACCCCCGTTGTTTGCTTCTTTCCCCCGCCCCTCCCTTGTGTGCTCTTGAATTCAGCAGTCCCATGGGCAACGGCCATAGCCAGGTAATGTCCGAAGTTGACGACGTCATTGTCTTGGCTCCGCCAGCATTCTACAGTCGAGGCTCAGCAATCATCCCGGACGGCAAGGGGTCGCCGACAGACCCTCAATGTTGCAGGTAAGCGGAATTCATTCCCAGTGAGGAGGACCCTGCTGTCGCGGCACCTGACTACGTCTAGGGACCGAACAAGCTGCGCTTCCGCCAGCCCCGCGACGACACCCGACTCTGTAGCGTCGATCCTGTCGGGTGTTGAGGCTTAAGGCGGGTGTTTCGACGCTGTTCCGCGCGCCATGTGCTGTCGCACGTACCGGAATGCACGTACGTGACCGCTCCGCCATCGGGCGGGTCCCCCTGACTGTTCCGAATGAGGGAATGACCAGATCTTGAATACTGACCGTGTTGCACTGACTCTCACATTTCGCACTCGCAAGACGGGATATAAGAAGAGCTAGGCCCACCCCGTCCCCTCCATCCGCGCACCTCGGACTCGACATTCCTCTCGTGGACTCCCCCCTCCCTTTACATTCTCATCGTTTCGCGATGCAGCTCTTGACCCTCGTCGTCTCCGCGCTGTCGCTCGCCACGGTCGCGCTCGGCGTGCCCGCCACTACCTCAGGGGGCAGCTCCACCCTGCAGGTCACCTATGACCCCGTGTACGACAAGAAGAGCAACTCGCTCAACATCGTCGCGTGCTCAAACGGCAAGCACGGCCTCGAGACTAAGGGTACGTGATCATATATATCTAAGTGGGTAATCGTAGCTCACCGTGTTGCCTGCAGGATACAAGACCTTCGGGTCTCTGCCTGCGCAGTACCTTGGCGGCGCGCAAGCCGTTGCAGGTACGTGTTCCATATCCTGCACCCGTCGTCTCCTCAGTGTTCTCACAACACCCCAGGGTGGAACTCGCCGAATTGCGGTTCGTGCTGGGAGGTGACGTACAATGGCACGACTATCAACGTGCTCGCCATCGACCACGCGGACTCGGGTCTCAACATCGCGGAGAAGGGCTTGAACAAGCTCACCCACGGGCACGCCGTTCAGCGCGGGGTCATCCACGCAAAGGTGAAGCAGGTCTCCGCGAGTAAGTGCGGCCTGTGATCACTACGCACGGAGGGGCGCATTGGGTAGTCTCTTGGACATTCAGATTGTGATATCGGACTCTTCTTGGACAGTGTGCAGCTAGCTAAATGTACTACGGGCATTGTTTCGGAGCGGACGTCATTCTGACATGTAGCCTCATGTAGCTATGATACTGGATTTGAACTCAGGGACATTATGCTCGTTGCTAGTCATCCAAAGTCGTGCTCCAGCAGCAGTCAGTGCCCAACCTCCCGTAGCATCCGAAGATACGCGCGACGCGTTGATCACGTGCGTCGTGACATGGCGTCGCATTTAAAAAGAGAAGAGAAGAAACGCAAAAGAATCCTTCGAACCGGGATCGAACCAGTGACCTTGGGATGTCGTGGGTTTCCAGTTACAGTCCCACGCTCTTCCAACTGAGCTATCGAAGGCTTATACTCTGTCATTCCCAAGTAAGTATAGCCAGCTCGTACCTTTGCTCGATTCAATTCTCGCTCGTTTCATGAGTCGGTTATTGCCGAATATGTTTTGACTCTTCCTGTTCAACAGCATTCCGCACCGGAGGTTCGAGGTTGTAATCCATGTTCGACATTTAGGAATGCAACAGAATACTCAGTTATATGCGAAGCTGCTTGGACATCGCTTAGCACTGGCAGGCGATCATCGATGCATCCGCAGATCGCTAGCCTTCCGCGCTCAGCTGGTAGGTTCGTCATTGACATGAGTTTCAGCCTAAAAAATTGCTAACGCTAGCAAACCAGACGCATCCTACAGGGGCAAGGTCGGCCGAAAGAGCCATCGATTGTGCCAGCATGCTCCGGACATGAAGCTTGAGTGACTAGCTGCGCAGTCACGTCTATCTAGCTGCGCAGAGGGGCAATATGGCGAACCATCGACAGCGTACCACACAGCGCACTCAATTCTGTTTTTTTATTCTCACTTTATTCACACGCGCCTCGGCTAAGGGTGCGAGGCTGTTCTGCCTGTGGCGGAGAGCAGAACATGTAAACATACGTCTCCCTCACACATTCACTCCCTTTCTGCCTTGGAACTTACCACACAGCTATAATTCAACTCTATAATGGGCCAGTTGAAATCTGAGAAGGATTCACTCTCATATGAAGTATGACGCCGGAGGTTTGTGCTGCGAAGCCAGCTTGCTGCTGTTTGCTCGTCCCCATCATCAATTAGTAAGCTTGAGCATATACGGAAGGTATGACCTTAACGAACGTCCTTAGCCGAGGCCCGTGTGAATAAAGTGAGAATAAAAAAACAGAATTGAGTGGCCTGACAAGGTCATTCCTTCGGCTAAGAGAACCCAAAAAGTGCGTGGACCGTTCTGAAGGAGCCGCGCTCGAGTCCTCGCTCCGATCAAGGAGATATGCGCGCCCCATGACAAAAAGCTGTCACCTCGCCCGCTGTTTGTGGCGCGCGCAGCATGCCGTCGGCGACGGATCGTGTCTGCTCATGGCGATGTTTACGGGAAGTCCTTTCTGGTGCAACACTCGAGTGTCCATGACCTAATAAAAGGAACGATGAACTATCCGGGCTGTAATCATCATTGTACGTTTACCATCTTGAACCATGTCTGCCCCTGTCGCTCTTACTTTGACCCTTTCACCCGACAACCCCTCCAATACCGTGGTCCTCGATCCCGATGGGAAGGAGCTCTACAACGTCTACACAGAACACGGCAAGGCTACTGTGACTCATGTTCAGAATGCGGACGAGAAGATCCTGGCGTCGCTCGAGTGGAGGGACGTCCTCCCGGACAAGGTGACTCTTATGAACAAGAGCCCGATGTCGATACGCGACTGGCTGCATACGAGCCTTGTTCCATTCTATCTGAAGGAGTCAGCTCTTTCCAATGACTTCCTCGAACATTGCTGACGATTATTTTAGCGATGTGACCTTCCGAGACGACTCCGGGCGGAAGTATAAGTGGCGGGGCAACGCCCCCGGTCGCGCCTTTGAGGTTAGCGCTGATTCAGTGCTCCTGCACGCATACTAATGCTACCAATAACCCCGTGCAGCTATTTGCCGAGGACGACAGCTACAAGGAGCCCATCGCCCGTTTCGGTAAGTCCCGTACATATCGGGCTACCGGGACGAGCACCCCCGCCATGCTCCTTCTCACCGCCCGCGCCGTTGAAGTTCGCGACATCGTTGTCATATCGTTCCTCTTCCTCGAGAAGACTCGGCGGACGAACGAGACGGCATCGCAGAGCCGCGCGGACGTTCTCTGCACGCCAATGCTCTCCGCCATGACTGGATCGGACTATAACGTCCGGAATGGCGGGATATGAGGGACATACGCTTTACAGACGATTGATATGGATTCCAGTATGATACTATGTATGATGTACCACGGGGATCTCGGCTTTTAGAACACATTAGAACACGTTGCTTGCGCATGGATGGCCGTGTTGCTGAGCGTCTAACGAATATCCATATTCTCATTCATGTCGTGCATGCATGCTTGGTGACGTCTTGGAACACGAAGCTGGATATCCTAATAACCTCAAGAAATATTTCGATCACGTGCGCGACGCGACGCGTGTGAACGCGTAGTTCGTCGGTGGCGTTCACGATGTGGCGTCCGCGATGTGGCGTCGACCACGAACATAGCTACGACTACGTAATATGACCCTAATAGTAGAGTAGAAACATGTAGGGGTCAGTCTATGAGGTGCGATGGGGATAGAGGTTGATAAGAAGGGAGGAGGATCGCACCGATGGCGGTGGCGGCAGAGAGGCTGACGGAGGCGGTCCTTGCGACCGCAGCTATCCGGACAGAAATCAGGGACAGATATCCAGCAAGAAGAGCATACAAGCAATGAACAGAATGATCATCGATGCTCAGAGAGGCGAACAATAGGTCAGCGTGGACAGGCGGGATCGAGATGGGGCTGACCGGAATGTCGCGGCGGCTAGTGTGAACCGCCGTGGGCCCGAGTATAAGAACACGCCCCTCCCCTCCGCATCTTGTCTCCTACCACCACGATCCATCCTGCCCTCCGACTATCGACGATGCGCCTCAGCCTCTGGGCTTGCGCTCCATGCGATCGCCGACGCGACCCCCCGGCCTCAGTGTACGCCACCGCTATCGCCACCGCCACCATGGTCCTCCTCTCACTCAGCCTGCTCAACGCCACCGCGCCTCGGACACATTGGCAAGGACGCACCCAAGATCGAGGCACTGGCGTCGCTCGCTAGTACGAACCTGACAAGACGGCGGATACGGGCAGATGCGGCGGACCACAGTGGTCATCATAGTACGTCTATCCGCCACTTCGTATGAGCGCCATGGGATCCGCGTTGAAGCGGTCCCACTGACCGCGGCCCTATAGCACAAGCAACAAGATCGTCAGCGTTGATGGGGCCGCGTTGTATGACGTGACTTGGAACTAACCATGTCCGTCGGACGAACCCAGTGCGGTGAACCACAACATCGGTGATCCATCATCCATCCTAAATCAAGATGAGCGCAAGCACGTCGACCCTGTGTCTTTCAACGCGGCCCCGAAACTGAAGTCCCTCGTCTAACGAGCCGACGGAACACGGACCATCCATACGCCATGGGATACCAAATCGGCGCCGCCGAGGGACTGGGTCGCACCGTCGAGGGACTAGGTCGCACCGTATTTGGGCCACATTGGGAACGAACGCCACAATGCATATACGCGCACGCGGTACATCCGCGAAGTCTTCAAAAGCCGGGTCGGGATCCCGGACCTACAAAAAATACGCTGGAACCGGAGGACGTCAAATCATTTAAAAAATACAACGACGGCCTACCTGTGATATTGTAACGCAACCATACTACCCCTATAATGGAACGGATAATATCCTCGCAATGCGGCAAGCATTCCACGTTGTATGACGCCACCATGTCCATATGGCGCACAAGATGGTATGCCGCATCGAAGGGGTCTGTATGGATCACCTGGCGTACGTCAGCAAGATTCGTACCATGAGGAGTGGCGGGCCACATCGGAATACTATGTGCTGTCATCCTTCGCGCCACAGGACAGACCGGGAAAATCACGTCAGTAGAAAATTCGTCTTGCCTCACCCCGCCGGGCGGTCTTCTTCCGGAACGTGAATCACCGCCTGTCCAGCCCATAGAACCGCCCTCAAAACAATCAGGGTCTGGGAGAAGACGTATATCATTGACCACAAACTTACCTCGGGATATCCGGTCACAGCACGGTCTTCTGGATATCATCGTGCTGTGAACCTCGAGCTCGGCATATTTGACATACCAAGGACCTAGAGGGCAATCAACTACACAGACACATACTATATTGCGGCATACCGCCAAGGCAATGGCGCATAGGAATATTCGAGGCCACGCGAAGCACGCTCGTCACTGTTTGGATAGAAGCAAGACCGTCAAGCGTCAGCATACAGACCATATCAAGCAGATGGATTATACACATACCTCATGATAACGAGACACATGCATACACTGGGAAACAAGACCTACAATATGGGAAACAACACACATTATTCGATTCACTGCGTAAAGCAGAGAATGATCCGCGACCATTGCCCTCGAGTAATCTCAAATAATAGGAATAGCCCCACAGATACATCGAATAGCTCGAGAATGACCAGAGTGTCGCTCAGAACAACGAGTTTAGGGTTATCCCGAATAGCCGCCTGCATTTCCCACCGGTAATCTGAGATTACCTTTAGCGCTACCTCACGTATCCCAACGTATCCCGTGCATGAACGTTTCCTGGGTGTGCAACCGGGCGTGATCCTCTTATTTCTCTGAGTAACCTCATTGTGCCAAGTATCCTCTAGGGTTGCGTTCGTCAGGGAGTGCTTTCATCCGCCCCCAAGGAGTTCACAAGATGTATAAAGGCTCAGGCAATGTAGCGATCAAGTCCCAGTACGTGCCCACTTCGCCCCCGATGTCCAGCTGCCCTCATCCCCTGGTGGTATACAAGCAAACCTACCTGCTACACCCACGCGTCCTTCTTGCGCTCTCTCCGCTTCCTCATGAGTCCACCGCACCTGCAGAACTGTTCACCGCCGCGCTTCTCGAGGCCGACTCTCTGGCCCCGATGATTTAGGCGAATGAGTGGATGCTTATATTGCTCATAGAAAAGCGACGCCCCGTCAGTTGTATATGAGTACAAAACGTTCACGATCACCACTTATCTAGATCTAATTTGGGAGGGGGGGTTTTCCTGATGACGAAGTACTTCGCGCTCAAACTGCGACCAGCCACTCCCACTGCTCCCTGCTGCTTTGGAGTCATTATGTCTGATTGTCTACATGTTGTACCTGCTTTCCCAATTTATATATATATTGCTGCGAACACGCTATTGCGTGGGCGGCAGTCCGCTCAGTAATATAAGCGCTAAAAACGCCACCAAGGCCGAGATTGCTGCTAAAGTAAACCTGCGTGGTGCTTAAC